GATCCTGGGGGTGGCAGGATGGACCGGGGCGTGGCGGGGTCCTGTGGGCGCGGGATGGGCCCGGGCGCGGCGGGGTCCTACGGGCGTGTGGGGCTGTCATGCGTGACTGACCCACTGCTGGGAGTGCTGCCGCCTTCGTGCTGGGCAGAATTCCTCAGTTCCAGTGCGGAGCCCCCGGCCCCTCCCCGCCTGCTCACCGCTCGTCTCCTCTGCTCCCGTCCAGCGGAGTTTTCCTGTGCGGTCACTCAGCCGGGGCGCACCTGGCGGCCATGGTGCTCTCGACCGACTGGGGGGAGTATGGAGTCTCCCCGGACATAAGAGGTAGCCCCTGGTTCCCCCGCTCCCCTGGCCTGCCTGCCCAGAGTGCGGAGCCCCCGGCCCCTCCCCGCCTGCTCACCGCTCGTCTCCTCTGCTCCCGTCCAGCGGAGTTTTCCTGTGCGGTCACTCAGCCGGGGCGCACCTGGCGGCCATGGTGCTCTCGACCGACTGGGGGGAGTATGGAGTCTCCCCGGACATAAGAGGTAGCCCCTGGTTCCCCCGCTCCCCTGGCCTGCCTGCCCAGAAAGCAGGGTTGGCGTATTTGCTCGGCTCGCTGAGCCAGGGCCTCCCGCTCCCCTTCCCACTCCAGCCACGTGGCTCAGGCTGCCGAGACGCGAGAGTGCAGAGGGTCCGGTCCCGAAGGCTCCGTTGCCCGGGCTCTTCGTTACTGTTCCTTGTGGGGCCGTAGCTCCGAGCAGCCGGGGCCCCGCTGAGCCAGGCTCTGTCGCGCCAGCGTGTACTAGAGTCACTGCCTGCCCCCAGCAGCTTCCTGGGTGTGTGAGCCTGCAGCCACCCGGGAGCCGACACCGGTCACAGGAAAGGGTCTGAGTGCGGGGAGGTGTCTGGCCTGCGCTGAGCCGTGGCTGGGCCCGTGGCAAGGGACCGGGCGGGGAGCAGGGCAGGGCTGCTCTGAGCCAGGGGCCCTCACACAGGTGGGGGGGTGATTTTCTAGGAGCTTTTCTGGTGAGTGGAGTGTACGACCTGGAGCCCATCACGCACACCTACGTGAACAGCCCGCTCCGGATGAGCCGGTGAGCGCGTGGGACCCAGAACACGCCCCTTGGCCCTGTGCCCCCTGCCCCACTCCCTTCTCCCCCCTGCAGGGCGCCTGCAGTCCATGGACACGCACCTGGGCACGTGTGGGACGGGCTCCTGCCCCTGCCCCTGGTGTGCGTCCCCCCCATTCAGTACAGGCCTGTGGGGTGCAGTGTGCACATGACATGGGCTCCCCCGGCCCCCGCATGCATGGCGGAGTGACAGGCTCTGCGTGCTGCCCCCGGCTCTGACTGCTCTGCCGTGGCTCCGTGTCCTCCCCAGGGAGGCTGCCTGGACTCACAGCCCCATCCTGCGCGTGACGGCGCCGCCTTCCGGGACGGCCCGCGCGGCGGGCGTCG